GACACAGCATGGAGAGAAGAGATAAGAACAAAAGAACGATAAGGCCAAAAACCCAGAAGCTGCACGGAATAGGACCCACAAGCCCTAGAAAGGACTGGAAGGAAGCCCCACCGAACGACGACAGACGTACCAGTAAAACGGGAAGGAGCAAAATCGTTCCGAACCTTCGAGAACCCATAGAAGCAAACACAAAGGACAAAGGCACAGAAAATCCCAGTCGCACTCGAGACCAAAAGTCATGCAGAACCCCAAGAAGAGAGGGACATGACGGAGAAGTCCCGTCCCGGGAAAAAGGGGAGAAGAACGGAGAAAAGCACCGACCGACAGGATGGAAGCAACGGGCATAATGGACAAGGAACTGAGCCCAGGGAGGGGCCGACGCCCAAATACTCGTGCGGAGAGGGGGGGGAAGGAAAAACCCCACTCCACAAAACCGCAAGCCCCGCCCAGAGGGGTAGAAAAACCTCGGCGGGGTCCAAAGGGGCCTGAGGCCCCCCCCACGTCAGCCCCACCCCAGCCCTGGGAACCCACCCGGCAGACCCCGCGGCCGAGCCGTCCCCCCAAAGCCCCAGCCTCAAGAAAAACCGGACACTCCCTGAGCATGGAACGTGCAAAGCCAATCCCCGAAAATTTGGCAGAACAGCTACCCAAAGCAACCAGCTCCAAAGAGACATGGACCGAAAGCCTCCCCAGTAGGAACAAGGAACTACTGGGGAGCAGTCCGAATGGAGCCGGATCCAAAAGGATCCCAGAGGAATCCAAACTCTCAGCAGCGTCTGCAATACAGCAATAATCCAATACAGCAATACAGCTGCAATACAGCAGCCCAACCCAGTGAGGGTTGGGCTTGCAACCCGCACTGGGTTGCGAGCCCAATGAAATGCAACAACAAACAAGGGAGGAAGAAGGCGCCATGGCAACAATCCCTCTAAGTCCAAAGAGAAGCCAATGTGTAGCCACCAGCGAAGGGACACTGGGGAACAGATCCAGCCATCGCGAGAGCGCTGACATGGGCGCCTCTAACAATACTAGAACAGCTACCTGAGCCTAACAAATAAACCAGAGAAGCAAATGTGAAACCCATGAAGCAAAGTGACTGCTGCTTGTTACCTCTGAACTTCCACATAGGAATGGGAGAGTTGGAGCACATGGGGGTTAACAAGTCCCACATGATTCAGGGTTGTAGGTGTTACTGACCCAACAAGCAAAGTCGCTGAGTTCTTTGTAAGCCTCCTGGGGACCATGAGCCACAACCTGGCCTCCTCAGAGAGGCAAAGGGAGCAATGGCACATGAACTCTCTACATTTAAAGTATGTCATTATGCCATCGACTAGGAAAGGCACCCAGAAAGGTAGGCTATCTTGAGGTTATCTTGAGATGATTTCGGGGCTTTTTTTTTAGTGTCCCCGTGGCCCGGTCCTCGACCAGGCCTCCACCCCCAGGAAGCAGCCCGTGACAGCTGACTAACACCCAGGTACCTATTTTACAGCTAGGTAACAGGGGCATAGGGTGAAAAACTCTGCCCATTGTTTCTCGCCGGCACCTGGGATTGACCCCAGGACCACAGGATCACAAGTCCCGCGTGCTGTCCGCTCGGCCGACCGGCTGACCATATGAAGGCACAGTGGACACTACCGACTAAAACTTGTACCACAGGCCTACCCCAACCCCACGAAGCCCGAGCCCTGGCCCGACCCCTTCGAGGGGGCCGAGAGCGACCTGCCGGAAGGAACCCCCCGATTTCCCTGGAGAACCAACAATTCAGATATAGGGCGGCAAATGGAAGAAGCCACCTGAAGATAATGCTCAACAGCAGAGGCCGCAAAAAGCAAAGGACAAAAAGGAGAAGACAACCAAAGAACCAGGGCCCAAGCGGATTCCAAGGAGGAAGCGAGAACCGCCTGTCGACACGCGAACACACAGTGAAAAACCACAGTAGCACCTTGCGCAGGATTGGCGCAAACAGCTTCAAAAGAGAAGTGACGCACGAGCAGCCGAGACCAAGGCACCAGACCCAGTAACGGCCCTCAGCGCCTCTACATCCTCCACAAGCCAATCCGAAGACAACTCCAGGAGGGAAAAGAAACACAGGACCGAAGCCAAGAAGCCACGTGCGCGCAAGTCCTCAGCCACAAGTGCAACTGACAGGGAAGGAACCTACACATGAAGCTGAACCGCACCAACATCCCGCAAAAGGGCAGGAACGAAAAGGCACTCATTAAGATGCTCAAAGTCGCCCCCCAGGTAAACCTGGACCACCGTCAACGCCTCGCACCACTCGAACGGGTGGGTCCGACAGAGTATGTCCCAAGCATCCAACGAAAACAAGGGGCAATCTGCAAGCCAGGACGACCCCGATACCTTATAACGTCCCCAGTAAGGATACGAAGATCCAAACCTGAACAAAGAAGGATCCATTATGGATGCATACTCCAAGTCGTGCAGGATGTAAGCCGCAAAGGCCGACCGCACCTCAGGCGGCGAGACGTGGGAAGCCGAAAATCTCCGTAAAGACGGAACCGATGGATCCGCAGGAACATGGAACCGAACCTGAGGAGAAACCGAACCCAAATCTAAATAGTACGCAGAGGGGGGAAAAGAAAACCCCCACTCCTTGCAACAGTAAGCCTCGCTCAGAAGGCCGGAAAATCCAGGCGAGGTCCAACAGAGCCCAATGCCGCAAGTCAGCTCCTCCCCAACCCCGGGAACTTCCACGTCAGGGCCCGGGACCAAGTCATCCTCCAAAGCCCCGGCTTCACAAAAAAAAGCCGGGGCAGCCAATAGAGCCGGAAGAGAAAGGGCCCACTGGTATGGTGGGCCCTGCCCCAGAGCAACGGCAGGAGGAACCGACTCTAATGCCTCTGTAGCCACCCCAGACGGGGCAACCCCCAAAACTTCATGAGTCTCAAGCCTCTGAACCCTGCCTCGATCCCAAAGCCCTCAGATGCTTAGGGGCAGGAAGCAAGGGGGGTTATCTTGAGGTTATCTTGAGATGATTTCGGGGCTTTAGTGTCCCCGCGGCCCGGTCCTCGACCAGGCCTCCACCCCCAGGAAGCAGCCCGTGACAGCTGACTAACACCCAGGTACCTATTTACTGCTAGGTAACAGGGGCATTCAGGGTGAAAGAAACTTTGCCCATTTGCTTCTGCCTCGTGCGGGAATCGAACCCGCGCCACAGAATCACGAGTCCTGCGCGCTATCCACCAGGCTACGAGGCCCCCTACGGGGGGGGGGGGGGAGGACAGAATGAACCACCGAAGGAGAAGAACGTGGGGGCGCGGACGGAACCAAGGGCGAAGCAGCCAACACCCCTAAGTTTGAATCCCTATAGGCAAAGTGAGGCTGCCTCAGGCCGTCCGAGGAAGCGACAACCCGAGTGTGTTGCAATAACCTAAACCTATCCTGCAACGCGCGTGCTGCCTGCACCCGAAGAAAAGTATCATCAGATTGAGTGAATTGAGTAACAAACAAGCAGCAAAGTTCGCAGGACTCTGGGTCGAATGTGTCACCAACCCAACAGGTAGCATAACGTAGGCAAAAACAACGAGTGTCGCCCTGAGACAAGGGAACAGAGCAACCCTCAATCTTGCACAAAGTGAGAGGGGACTCAGGGGTCTCCTCCATATGACCCGAGTGCCCCTGCGAGGGTTTTCCAGGGCCTAGACTGGGTCTGCTAAGGGTTATCCCAGGCAGGGTACTGCTAACTGGCATCCCAAACTACCAAGCAAACTGCTATAAGCTGAACTCATGGAACGAGTCCACTCACGAGGGGGAAGCAGGGGGTACCACCACACAAACGACCCTAATATAAGGGGGAGGGAGAACACAAGGCAGACCCCCCTCCCCCCACCAGGCAAAAAGAAAAAGAAAAGAAAAACCTCGCAAGAGGACAACGTACCCGAAGAGAGCAGAGCAGGCCGCTGTTAAAGGTGAAAACTAACTATGCAGTACCCCGCACTCCACCAGTGCAATAACTACCACTTACCCTAAGGCTAACAAAGGGTACTCAGGGAAGGTAACTAAGCACATGCAGCCCAAGTACCTGAGAATTACTCCCAGCTCACACGCCACCGTAAGAGCAGCACTGAAACCAAGAACAGCACTGAGAGAAGACTGGAGCTGGAGCCATAACAACTCCACCCACATCGACTGATGCAAAATAGTCAGGGTATCCATATCAGCCTGGATAGCTCCAAGGAGCCGTAGGGGCTCCCCCCAAAGAGAAAAATAATAAGAAAAAAATTGTTTTATAAGTGTTCATTTGTTTTTCCTGACCACGGAGAAAAAAATCAAATCGTAGGCGACATATTTCGGCAGCAATAGGGTGTGGAGGTCTGGCAAAATTGAGGCGTTGACAGAATAATCGTCTGAGGCGGTCAGCTCCGGCCAAGCTATCAAACGAGAGTTGCTACAAAGATGATATTACCTAATTATTTCAATGTCTCTGATTTTTCATGTTCAACATAGCAAACCACTAAGCTGATATGGTGAGTGTAGAATATAACAGGTTGCCACACAGTCGGCAGATGACGCTACCTCCCTCCCTCCCTCAGCATTACAACTCCCACCATACTACATACAGCACTAATTATCACAACAATCCTGCTATTATCAGAATCCTGCTCATTTTTATCACAGACAGGGTCTCCTGTAATACTATCATCACTAAATAATAACAGTTATATATATTTTTTAAATACAGGTTGGTCTACACACAACACACCGGTGTACATATGAACATCAAGAAGCACAAACAGTAAATTAGCACACACTCCAGGGACCTGGAGAATTCAAAAGGGAATCTAGCACTGAACCAGATGGCAAGAACACAGCACAAAGCACTAAGAAAATGAATGACATTGATGCAAAAATGAGGGAATACACACATGAAGATAACGTATCCAAAAGAAGAAATGAATACGAGAGAAATAACATGAATTAGGATGGAGAGAGTGTGAAACAAGGTGAGGGAGAGAGAGAGGTAATGAGAATGATTTAACCTTTGTTTGACAATCTTCAGCTGTTCCTTTTGCCATATGTTAAGGAAGTCGTTACAGAATGGTGACCAGGCACTGAAGAAATCGTATGGCGTAACATCTTTTCCTTTACCACTAAACTGGAAGTACTTCATGACAGCATCAAATCTGTAATATAAGAATAGGAAATTAATACTTTTCCTGCAGATATTCACATTCACGCATTATAAGTACACACTGCACTCACACATTGTGTGGACATACGGCACCAGGGGTGTGGTGCCAATTTTATAGGTGCCAGAGATCTGGTGGGCCTGACAAAAGCCTGTCATTTCATATCCTGTTTCTATATATGTCACACGATTATGCATTGTGTGTTTGTGCTCACTAATTATCATAAAATATAAATAGCAAACAAATAGGGAAAAAACATCAATCGTGTATTTATCAATTTAAGAAGTTAACACACTTAGTGCTCACAAAATACAACCAGTTAGAAGTTTCACAATAGTTTCCACAAAGGGTCAGGTTGGAGATGTTTTCAGAGGTTTGAAGCAACTCTTGTCCTGGTGTCATCTGCCGGTTGCTCACAAAATACAACCAGTAAGAAGTTTCACAATAGTTTCCACAAAGGGTCAGGTTGGAGATGTTTTCAGAGGTTTGAAGCAACTCTTGTTCTGGTGTCATCTGCCGATCTGTGGTACCGCAGCCATGATATGGCATAGTAGGCATCCTTCAGTCTTGGGAGACTATGGAGTTGCGCCCTAGTTGTCGATCCTGGTGCAGCATCAATCCGATGAGGCCAATCCGAGAGTGGCAGTCCATCCCACACTGAGCACAATCGGACCACGTCCGATTCTGGTCCGTCTTCCTGGCTACCGGCTTTCCTTCTCTGTCTCTTTGCCTCCAATTCCTTGTCAAGTGACTCCTCGAACTTGGAGAGACCTCTTTGAACAGACTGCCTCCAGGCTGAACGGTCCAGCTTTCCATCCGACCTGGTCCGGAGGTAAATACCTTCCGTGACAGATCCGAAGGCGTGCCGCAGCATAACTGCGAAGAAAATCCCGAATAGGGTTGGAGCCAGTATGCAGCCCTGCTTTACTCCACTTTGGGTGTCAAAGGCGTCTGATGTTAGGCTATCAAAGACCACGGTGCCCCTCATGTTCTCATGTTAAGATCTGATGATGCTGAGGAGCCTGGGTGGGCATCCGATCTTGGGGAGGATCTTGAACAGGCCATCCCTGCTGACGAGGTCGAAGGCCTTCGTCTTCGTTGATATGGCATATGGCTCAGGATTCCACTGAACTAGGAGGAGGTCTGTGTAGTTTAACCCTTTAACTGTGCCGCCTCCAAATATGACACGCCCCCAGTGTGCAGGAAATAAATTACCTTGAAAAAATTCTTTTGTTTTTAAAGTGTCAAAACGCTTCCCTCAGTATGGGTATGTAAAAAAAAAAAAAAACAGCGTTGAATGTAATGAAACGCCATTTTCTGGGTGAGTCCCGGAGGCTTCCCGGAGCTTACCAGGCTGATATGCTAATGTCAGACTTTGGCATCAGTCATGTGTACGGAGTTCTTATGGGCCTACCGGGGACCACGAGCCAGAACCTGGCCCCCTCTAGAGAGGCAAGGGGAGCAATGGCCTATAGAAACCCCCCGTGTGATTGGAAGCATTCTATGTTTGCCATCGACTGGGTTAGGCACCCAGAAAGGTAGGCGTCCCAAAACAAACCCCTATTCTGGTGAAAATTGCAACCAAAAACCGAACGAGTGGATAGAACTCCCAAACAAAAACGAGCAAACTAGTATGACGTCACCCATCATCGAGCCGCTGTCTGCGCAGCTCCCTACTCCCCGGGAGGGGGAAGGGGTAGCCACAGACCTACCATGCCAGCGATCCACAAACCAGTTCTGAGGCTGGATGTCAAAACACGCGAAAAACCGCCGATCGGAGGGAGGGAGGGAATCCGGGGAGCCTCTGGGACTCGCCCAGAAAATGGCATTTCATTACATTGAACGCTGGTTTTCTGGGGGGGAGGCCCTATCGCTCCCCGGAGCCAACTACCCACAGAGTACCTTAAGACTCTTAAAAGCACTTTAATCACCTTCAGTGATTAAGTGCTTAATTGCACACTAGTTTCTCTAACAGATATCTCACCCTGTCAGAGTAAAAGAGACAAATGTACATGAATGCATGTAATTACCCAAGTGTAATTACCTAAGTGTAGTTACAGGATGAGAGCTACGCTCGTGGTGTCCCGTCTTCCCAGCACTCTTTGTCATATAACGCTTTGAAACTACTGACGGTCTTGGCCTCCACCACCTTCTCACTTAACTTGTTCCAACCGTCTACCACTCTATTTGCGAAGGTGAATTTTCTTATATTTCTTCGGCATCTGTGTTTAGCTAGTTTAAATCTATGACCTCTTGTTCTTGAAATTCCAGGTCTCAGGAAGTCTTCCCTGTCGATTTTATCAATTCCTGTAACTATTTTGTATGTAGTGATCATATCACCTCTTTTTCTTCTGTCTTCTAGTTTTGGCATATTTAATGCTTCTAACCTCTCCTCGTAGCTCTTGCCCTTCAGTTCTGGGAGCCACTTAGTAGCATGTCTTTGCACCTTTTCCAGTTTGTTGATGTGCTTCTTAAGATATGGGCACCACACAACAGCTGCATATTCTAGCTTTGGCCTAACAAAAGTCATGAACAATTTCTTTAGTATATCGCCATCCATGTATTTAAATGCAATTCTGAAGTTAGAAAGCATAGCATAGGCTCCTTGCACAATATTCTTTATGTGGTCCTCAGGTGATAGTTTTCTATCTAGAACCACTCCTAGATCTCTTTCTTTATCAGAATTCTTTAAAGATTTCTCACATAATATATAGGTTGTGTGGGGTCTATGTTCTCCTATTCCACATTCCATAACATGACATTTATTAACATTAAATTCCATTTGCCAAGTGGTGCTCCATATACTTATTTTGTCCAGGTCTTCTTGAAGGGCATGACAGTCATCTAAATTTCTTATCCTTCCTATTATCTTAGCATCATCAGCAAACATGTTCATATAATTCTGTATACCAACTGGTAGATCATTTATGTACACAATAAACATCACTGGTGTGTGTATATATGTATGAATATTTGTACATGTATATAAATAAATAAATAAATAAATAAATGTTTATTCAGGTAAGGTACATACATACAAGAGATTTTTACAAAAATTGCTAGGTTTATAGATAGAGCTGGTACATACAATGCCTAAAGCCACTATTACGCAAAGTGTTTCGGGCAGGAAAAACATTAAAGACTAAAACTTAATACTAATTGAGTTTAAAGTATAAAATGTATTTAGAACAAATATAAATAAAAATAGGAAAGGGGGGAACATGGCTGAAAAAGCAGCACAAATATAATTAGGTCGACAAACAGTGGTGTTTAAAAAAAAAAAAAAAAAGACATGGGTTGACAATACAGGGGTAAGGTAGGTTACAGGGAATTTATTAGGTAGTGCTTCGTTTTTATCTTAAATTAGTTGAGAGAGGTATAGTCTTTAACATGATTGGGAAGGTCATTCCACATTCTGGGTCCCTTGATTTGTAGAGCATTTCTTGTTTGATTAAGTCATACTCCTGGAATATCAAAACTGTATTTGTTTCTGGTGTGGAGCTCATGGGTTCTGTTACAACCTTCAATGAAGCTTTTGAGGTCAGGATTGGCATTACAGGTCAGCATTTTATATATGTATAATACACATGAGAGAATGTGCAGTGACTTAATGTCTAACATATTCAGAGATTTGAGTAGGGGTACCAAGTGATGTCTGGGGCCAGAGTTGGATATTGTCCTAATTGCAGCTTTGTGTTGAGTAATTAGAGGACGTAAATGATTTTGGGTAGTGGAACCCCAAGCACAAATACCATAGTTGAGATATGGAAAGATGAGAGAGTAATAGAGCGTCACCAGGGCAGGGCGGCGTACATAATATCTGATCTTAGAAAGAATGCCAACAGTTTTTGAAACTTTTTGATATATTTAGAATGTGTCCCTGGAAATTCGGTTTGTGGTCAATGAGAACGCCAAGGAATTTGCCATAAATTTTGTTACAAATTTGGGTATTATTTATCCTGAGACTTATTTGATTTGAAGATTTATTGCCAAACAAGATATAGAAAGTTTTGTCAATGTTGAGGGTGAGTTTGTTGGCAGTTAGCCAAAGATGGACTTTATTTAGCTCAGTATTTACTGTGCCATTAAGAGCAAGGGGATCAGGACTGGAATAAATGAAGGTTGTGTCGTCAGCAAATAGAATTAGTTTGAGATGTTGGGAGGCATTTGGAAGGTCATTAATGTAGATGAGAAAAAGGAGAGGGCCAAGTATGCTGCCCTGAGGAACACCAATGTTGATGGGTAGGGTGGGAGAAATAGAATTATTCACAGAATACTGGAGCCTCTCAGTAAGGTAAGATTTGAGGTTTTGCAGGGAGTGACCTCTGACCCCACAATGATGTAATTTAAGAAGAAGGGTTTGGTGGTTGACAGTGTCAAAAGCCTTATGCAGGTCCACAAATAACCCAACAGGGAACTCATTTTTATCAAGAGCTGCATGTATCAAGTTAATCATACTAATAAGTGCATCGTTAGTGCTTTTTTTCGGTCTGAAGCCATATTGACAAGAGCTAAGTATATTGTGTTTGGCTAGATAAGAGTAAAGCTGCTTGTAGATAAGTTTTTCAAACATTTTTGACAAGTTTGGCAGGATTGATATAGGTCTGTAGTTGTTACCATCAGTGAGATCACCACATTTGTGGACAGGGGTTACTCTCGCTTTTTTTTAGATTATCTGGAATGGTTTGGAGTTCAAGTGACTTGTTGAAGAGCAATGCAATAGCAGGGGCTAAAGATCTGGAGGCTTTTCTGGGGTGAGCCCCTTCGGCTCCCCGGAGCCATCCAGGCTGAATGGATATGTATAACTTTCTGGCATCGGTCAATGCATGGAGTTCCTGCCTACCGGGGACCACGAGCCAGAACCTGGCCCCCTCTAGAGAGGCACGAGGGGCAATGGCCTATAGAGACCCCTCTTATGGTTGGGGGCATTCTATGTCTGCCATCAACCGGGACAGGCACCCAGAAAGGTAGGCGCCCCAAAACAAACCCCTATTCTGGTAAACTATTGCGACCGAAGACCGAACAGGTGGACAGAACTCCCCAAACAAAAATTAGCCCTCATGACGTCGTCATGTCGCCGCGCCACCGTCTGCGCAACCCCTCCCCCTTCCCAGTAGGAGGAAGGGGGGAGCCCCAGACTCCACCGTCAGCGACCCAACCATTAGTTCTCACGCTGATGGGATCTGGTGCGGTCGTGCCTCTGGCTCCTGTTTGCAGTTGCAGTTCTGTGCCTGGTGGTGTGAGCTGTCCCTTCCGGTGGTGTGTGGGCCAGGAGTATTATTTTACGGTGCTCGGGCTGCATGCGCTTAGGGTTATCTTCCCTAGGTGCCCTGTAAGTACTGCCCTTGGGGCTTAGGGCTACCTTCCCTGGGTCGCCTTGGGGTCTACCTCCGCTGTGCCGTGTGCTGCTTGGTACTTGGCTGCCCTTGGGGTCAACTGGGATTTTTTCATGCCCTTGTTTGTAGGAGGTAGTTTTCGTCACTGGTAGGGGCACGGGGTACTGCACAGCTAGTTTTCACCATTAACAGCGGCCGGCTCTGTTCTGCCCGGGTACGTTGTCCTCTTGCAGGGTTTTTCTTTTGTTTTTGTATTTTGCCTGGTGGGGGGTCTGCCTGTTTGGTCCCCCATCACTGTTCTTGGGGTTTGTCTCAATTTTGTTTGATTTGGTGGTACTCCCCGCTTGGCCCTCGTGAGTGTACACGTCCTGGGGGTTCAGCTATAGCAGTTTGTTGGTAGTTTTGGGTGCCGGTACGCAGTACCCTGCCTGGGCTTCCCTTAGCGTGTTACCAAGGCTAAGGGCCCTGGAAAACCCCACGGGGGCTACGTGGTCCAATGGATGTGACCCCTGAGTCCACCCTCGCGTCCTGCGAGTTTGAAGGTTATCTGTCCCCTTGTCTCAGGGGGACACTCACCGGTTTTGCCTCCGCCATGCTGCCTGTTGGGTCGGTGATTGTTTTGACCCAGAGTCGTGCGACGTGTGTTGTCTGTACATTCTCCATTTCACCCAGGCTACTGCGCCTGATATGCGGGTGAGGGCAGCTGAGGCGATGCATGTTCGCTTTAGGTTGCTGCAACGCGCTAGGTTAGTCACTGCCCCGGATGCCCTCAGACTGCCCCATTTTGGTTATAGGGACCCGGACTTGGGGGTGGGAGTCATCTCGGCTTCTGTTGCTCATTTAGCCCCCCCCCCCCTTACTGCCGGCTCCTAAACGTCTGAAGGTTTCGGAGCCGGGGCTGGGCTTCTGGGTCTGGCCAGTGGGCCCCCTTTGTTCCTGCTTTTTCGGCTGCTCTCGCCTTTTCTTTGGGGGTGGGGGCTCAGGAGAACTGCTCGGCCCCGGGCCCTCTAACTGAGGTTCCTGGGGTTGGGGAGGGGTTGGCTTGGGGGCCTTGGGCCCCGTTGGACCCCGCCTGGTTTTTTTTGCCCCCTGAGTGGGGCTTGGTGTTACTAGGAGAGGGGTTCTCATTCACTCCCTCCGCGTATGGATTGGATTTGGTGTCCACCCCTTCCCGGGTTTGGTTCCGTGATCCCAAGGGTTCTTTGGTTCCGTCTTTCCAGAGGTTTCCAGCTTCCCGTGTTTCGTCTTCGGAGGTGCGGGGCTGGAATATTAATTGGAGCGGAATGCTCAGCTAATAATGTTTGCACATGTTGGTTGCAACCTTTAACAAGCTGTCAGATTCCTGTCCCCATTGAAGCTATCAGAGATGGTGGCCCTCAGGTAAATTTATGATAATTATACTATGAACATACTGCAGAGATATAATTTACTTAGTATTTCAAAAGTACAGCAAGTACAGACTGAAGGATAAGCTGTCAGTCCACATAAAACTGTAATAAAACTATGTAAAGCAAATAGCCATACTCACTGTAACTTGCATTCATTAAGATTTATATTTTCCATCTCCAGCTCTGTCTTGGCTGAAAAAAAATAAAACAGGTGAATTAGTATACTGTACTGTTCAATATTATCAAGTCAATCAATTTCCTTTTTCGAATCTTAACTTTTGTAGATTTATTTTAACCACTGCACCTTAAGGTGCTCATTCTGAGTTGTGGAAAGTGCCATGTGGTGCTTTTAGGTGCTGTATAGGTAAGAGTTGTTACATTCTTGTACAGCCACTAGTACGCGTAGCGTTTCGGGCAGGTCCCTGGAATACGATCCCCGCCGCGAAGAATCGTTTTTTCATCCAAGTACACATTTTACTGTTGCGTTAAACAGAGGCTATAGTTAAGGAATTGCGCCCAGTAAATCCTCCCCGGCCAGGATACGAACCCATGACATAGCGCTCGCGGAATGCCAGGCGAGTGTCTTACCACTACACCACGGAGACTGTTATCTGTACTGTATCTGTACGGAGACGGAGACTGAATCTGTAATGATTCAAAACTCCCACGGGTACACAGGGCTCAAATCCTGTGCCTCAGGACTCCAGTAAACAGACACCCACTTGAAAAATATTCATCAGGATCCGTACTGGCTGTGCGAGCTTCAGTACTGAGTGAGTGACCAAGGCTGGCACATGCAGAAAAGTTTACAGCATCGCTGTGAAACTAGGGGCAACACCACCACTTAGTAATGATGAATAAAATAGGTAACTAATTATTTTGCATTGATAGTGTCATAGATGATCCTGACTGTGATAATGATTATGTACAACGTTCAGATATCAATGAACACAATGTTAGTTATGATATTCACAGCATGAGGTACGGTAGAGACAGACAGCAGATGTCTGTCTCTTCCTTCATGGTCCTCATGTTCCTTCACAATATAACATTGTGGAAATAGATTCATATTGGGCATTTTGTGATTGGAATGGGGTAATAACAGCAGTTCTGTTACTAGTCATAGCGAGATGTGTAGAATATTGGAGGCACTGTCTTGCAGCAAGTTACTGCTGGCAGTGTCTGCTCGTATGTATGTGGCTCTATGTTGTATTTTAATTTCATCATATCCACTAAAACTGTTTATTAGTTTCTTATGAACTTTCAAAATCATTTTACACACATTGAAATAATTATGTAAAAATGTATATGGGTGAGCCCCTGCCCCACACACACACCCGTTGGCCTATAGGCTGACATTCGATTCTTGTTCTGTGTATAAATTCTCAGCACATGATCCTTGTGGTTCCTTTTCATATATGAAAATGCAGATACTGTAGTTAAAAATAATGTGTATATAGTGTAATAACAAAAACCCAGCATTGAATGTAATGAAACGCCATTTTCTGGGTGAGCCAAGGAGGCTCCCTGGAGCTATCGGGCTAATATGCAATTCATTAGACCAGGGCATTAGTCAAATGAGTTCAGCCTACCGGGTATCACGAGCCAGGAACTGGCCCCCTCAAAGAGGCACAGGAAGTAATGGCCATGGAAAAACCCCTGTGGTTGGGTTTTTTTCTCATCTCCCATCGACCAGAGTTAGGCCTGGTCAGCCTAGTTGACCAGTCGAGCAATGAAGAGACCTGGTCGAGGACTGTGCAGCGGGAATGGTAAGCCCCAAAACCATCTCAAGGTAACCTCAAGGTAGGCACCCAGAAAGGTAGGCATAACAAAACAGACCCCCACATGGTAAGAGAATTGCAACCGAAAACCAAACAGAGGCAGAACACCCTTCAATCCCAAGGAAACCAAAAAAACAAACGAATCAAAACAACGTGAAACCCGCTGATCGTAGGGAGGCAAGGTGCCAGGGAGCCACTGGGGCTTACCCAGAAAATGGCATTTCATGACATTCAATGCTGGTTTTCTGTGGAGAACCCCTTCGGCTCTCTAGAGCTACATAACCAACGATAAGGAAAAGAAGGACTTTCCCAGGAGGAGGACGCCACACGCTCCTCGACTCGAAGGCAAGATAACTAGCTGCAACCTGCAACCCAAAGCCACACACGAACGCCTAGGACCAGGAATGTTGACCAAAATAATGGGCAGCCATGACCCTGTTCGACCTTCAAAATCCCTGCGCCGAAATATCAGCCCAAGACATGCTGCCAAAGACGGAAGCTAGTGCAGCAAACTTCCAAACGTCATAGGAACGAGGATAGGCCGCAGACTGGCTAAAACTTAATAACCCTGCAGACGACCAAGGAGACCCAAGCCCTGGAACAGGGAATGAGGGAAGCCGGATCAACCCTAAGTGCATCCCCTGACACAGAAGCCGAGGCGCGCAGGTAACAGAGAAGAGCCACAATGTGACAACACATGATGCACCCCCGGCCTGACAAACCAAGCATCAATGACCCCTCTAGAAAGCAGATGTCTCGTTCTTTGCCTGCTCGAAGGAGAAGGAGAAGGCTGCAACCGAACAAATCGACTACCAGGACCAAAGGAGCAGAAACCCCTGCGCCAGAGAGCATGAAGCTCACCAACCCGATTCCCAAAGGCCAATTCCAACAGAAAGAGCCTTGGAAAAACAATCTTGAACTGAAGGGGCCACCACGAACCAAGGAGGAGAGAGCTAGGAGAGCACCCTGTTCATGGACCAGGACAGCTTAGGCGGCACATGAGCAGGCCTGAGGTGAAACAAAGCACGAGACAGCTTACAGAATGGGGCAGAAGTGACATCCACCCTGAACACAAGCTGCAGCAGCTTCCCCAGCACCGCATGATACGAGGCAACAGCATTAGGCATTAAATGATGGTCCTGAAAAAGCCAAGAAAGAAAGGACAAGACAACCTGTTCAGAAATAGAAGACAACCTATTGAGAGAGAGAGAAAAAGCAGAAAGAACCCCTGGAAAACTTCATACTGCTGACGAAACGAAGCTCTCAGGTGGGACATTGTCAACGAAGACACCTGATCACCGTACATATGGTGATAAACCCATGTCAACCGCATGGAGAGCCAAACCCCGAGAAACCAGCAGACTAGCCACTCAAAGTAATCAGCCCTAAAGAGGCAAGGACCAAAGAGAACCCCTGCAGTTTAGGCAATGAACCACCAGAGAACAGTCCGAATGGAGCCAAACGGTTGAACCCCCGAGCGACCCAAATCTCCGAAACGACAGCCAGACTGCCGCAAATTCCCGCACCGTGCTGTGAGCCCGATGGAAGGATGGACCCCACCACCCCTGGCCAGCCTGGTGAGCAGTGATCACAAAGCCCCAACCAAGAGACATCATGTACGTGAACACATTGAGTGAGGGCTCAGGTAGGCACTAAGGCACTGAACCCTGAAAAACTCAAATAGGAAGCCAGCAACACAGCAACAGATGTAAGGCCCTCAGAGGCTGGAAGAGGTAACTGTAGTACAACTGAATTTTTCAGAATTTTCTGAAAATTAAAATTTTCTGAATACAGTATAGAGAATTTTCAGAACCTGCAGGGGTATGCTCCCTGCAGGAAGACCAGGCATTGGGAATGCTATACCAGTAGAACCCCAGCAGAGAGCAGGCAACCTAGCCACCTAAACCCAATGGAAAAGTCACAGGGAGCAACAAAGGGGTTCAGCCACACACACCCTAGGAGGACCTAATAAAGTGAAAGGCAGAACCACTAAGCAGAAAAAAGGGGTAAAATGAAAACAAAAACAAAACACAAAAGTCCCAGCCCTCGAGACTAAGCCATGGAAAATGGGTAACTAGAAAGAAACAGTGGTGTGCCTATTTGCTAATAGAATAGCTAGTCATGCAATCCCAATGCACACAATCAGACAAAATTGCTTCCAACCCCAGGAAAGACAGTCACAGACCACCCAGTTACTTTAACCGCTGCACTGTTCTGCATTTAAATAAGACGCACCCGTGATGCGCCAAAAATGAATTCTTTAAAAATTTATTTTCTCTTATATTGTTAAAATGCAGTTTCTGACCACGGGAAACTAAAAAAACCAGCGTTGAATGTAATGAAATGCCATTTTCTGGGCGAGACCCTGAGGCTCCCCAGAGCTTATTCAGGCTCTCATGCTAATGTCAGACTTTGGCATCAGTCATGTGTATGGAGTTCTGTGGGCCTACCGGGGACCACGAGCCAGAATTTGGGTCCCCCTCAGAGAGGCATGGGAAGCAATGGCCTATAGAAACCCCCGTGTGGTTGGAAGCATTCTATGTCTGCCATCGACCGGGTCAGGCACCCAGAAAAGAAAGCGTCTCAAAACAAACCCCTATTCTGGTGAAAATTGCTACCAAAAGTCGAAAAGGCTGGTTTTCTGGGGGAAGCCCATTCGACTCCCCAGATCTAACTACCCACAGAGGAAAAGTAGAGGGACTTACCCGGGAGGCGGTCACTGCTCACGCCTCAACATGAAGTCGAGACAACTGGCTGCAAACACTGACCCAAAGCGACACAGGCTCGACTAGGCCAAGGAACGTTCACGAGATGTCGAGCAGCCAGGACCCTGTTCGACCTCCAAAATCCCCGCACCCAAATGTTAGCCCAGGACATGTTGCCTCTCTCTTTTTTGGGATGGTATCTTCGCCATGCTTACCCATTATTGGGGTTCAACGTGAATTTTGGTCTTGGGTGCGACTGTTTCTTTGTGTGCCTTCGGGACTGGTGTTTGCTTCTGTGTTCTCGAAGGTTCGGGGTACGTTTTCGCTACTTCCCGTATTATTGGAATGTTTGTCTGCTCCTAGTCCGGGTCGCCGGATTGGGCTACTTGTAGCCCAGTTAGGCTACTCGTGGCCCGGTTGGGTTCCCATTGGGCTCCTTGTCTTCGCTTCGTTGGCCAGTTATGTTGTCGCTGCTTCCTCTTTTAGCTCCTGTCGAGTGTGATGGGTTGTTTTTTCTAATTGTAAAAGAATTAACAACTCTTGTGTATATCTCAAATAATTAGCGGTTCCCTAGGGTTCTGTTCTGTTTGGCTACTTTTCTTGTGCAGTAGTCCTAGTTGGCGCCTTCCCGCAGACCGGGTTGTGCGGTTCGGCCAGCGTGTCCTGCGCATGCGCCGTGCGGGGTTTGTTTTGGTCTGAGCGGTGT